AGATGAATGGATTAGAAAACTGTGGTACATCTACACAATGGAATACTATGCTGCTGTAAAAAAGAAGGAACTCTTACCATTTGCAACGGCAGGGATGGAACTGGAGAGCATTATGCTAAGTGAAATAAGCCAGTCAATGAAAGAAAAATACCACATGATCTCACTCATTTATGGATAATAAAGACCATTATAAATTCATGAGCAAAAATAGATACAGAGGCAGAGCAGCATTGAAAAGACTGTCAAACTACAGCGGGAAGTTCAGGGAGGGTTGGTGGGCGGGGGCTGTGGGGAGGTTAGAGATCAACCAAAGGATTTGTATGCATGCATATAAGCATAACCAATGGACACAAGACTCTGGGAGGTAGGGGAGGCCAGGGGAATGTCAAGGGTGAAAATAAAAAGAGACATATGTAATACTCTTTGTAATACTTTAAGCAATAAAACAAAATATATTAAAAAAATAAATATAAAAAAAGAAAGAAATAAATTAGGTATAGCTTCTTTCACATTGTTAAAAAGTATTTTCAGAAAATTTAAATGTGAATGTTTTAAGTCTTTTCTAGGACAAATTTCATGTAAGAAATAAAACCAAGTCAGTTTCAATACTTCTCTCTTGGAAAGAGAGTGCTTTGATTATTATTAGGATACAAAATAATAATAATATATATATATATATACCAAAAGACAGCCGAGTCCTCAGTTGCCAGCTCTTGCCGCGTGCTCCTCTCTATGGTTGCAAATATTAAAAAATTTCTATATGTCACATGGCACCAGAGTTAATCTAGAGTTTTTTTAAATGCTAACACGCCGGGCTCAAAAGGTTCACCATCACTGTTCTACACTGTCTTCAGTCTTTGCTCCACACCGATGTATGCAAATTAACCTCCATCTTTGTTGGGTTAATTTGCATACTTGCTCTGATTGGCTGGTGGGTGTAGCGGGCGGTGGTCAATTTGCATGTTTCTCTTTTATTAGTGTAGATTCTCTGGAGTAAAATTATAGGCTCTTAAATGCAATCCTAGTGATTTTCCCTTAGTGCTGCTTAAATTTTCTTTTTTTTAATTAAATCTTTATTGTTCAGATTATTACAGTTGTTCCTCTTTTTTTCC